TTTTTTTTTTTTTTTTTTTTTTTTTTTTTTTTTTTTTTTTTTTTTTTTTTTTTTTTTTTTTTTTTTTTTTTTTATATATATATATATTTTATATAATATCGATAGGTATTATATAAAAGAAGCGAAAAAAAAAAATCTAAGAGGAATATTTTTTTTTTGAAAATTCTCCGTAGAGATGCCTCATCCTTTTATAATCCCAAAAATTGTTTACATGAGTGTTATTCAAACACTTAAGCATCCGTGATTGTTTATTTTTAAAAAATACATAAACAAAGTCCGGCAGCTAAATCATATTTGGAATTTTTGAAACTAGAATGCAAATTAAATTTACAGTACATTACTGATCAATTTACTTGTTTTTTAAAAAGGTAAAATACTTGTACCGATAATACAGCGTTTTAAGGCCGAAAAATCACTAAACCAAAATCGATTAATCTGAGATTATAATATTATATTATATAATATAATTCACAAGTACCATTTTGTACGAATAAGAAACAGGCGAGCAATATACAATATAAATATATTTACTTTCTAGTATGTCGTGATATGGTAGAAGATACTGTGACATGACGGAAATCCCTCTCTGTTTATTATAGTTGACATTGTGATTAAATTTAGCAGTTTTTATGATCAAAGAACATGACTTTACACAATGATTATATCACAAAGAACAAAACAAAGCAATTTATAAGATGCATCCGATGTGCCAACTTTTTTTCTTTCTTTATCTCTGCAAAGTTGATTATGAAATTTTCTTTACCAGCAAAAAAACGAATCACCTGTCAGGTAAAGCTTATTATTATTTGTTTATTAAACACATATTCTGTATTAGTGTGATTGAGTGAAACGTCGCAAGGTTTTTAAAATCCATTATTTCCACTTGGAACAAAAAAAAGAATAAAAAAAAAAAAAAAACGCATATTAGCATACATAGTGCACAGCTGATCTTAAAATGGTATAATCTACGATGTAATATAATTAAATTAACAGGAAGATTATGTTTGTCAAATATACCGCACATGAAGCGCGGCACAATTTATTTGGTACATATGGACTCACGTCCCATTTTGATTTCTTGGTGGTAACAAGTTCCATTTGCATTCTACTTCCTTCTTTGACAAACTTACATATAATAAGTCGTGTAACCTATGAAATTTCTTTGTTTTGAGAAAATTTGGAACGTTTATAAAATTCTTTATCTTTCAAACATAAATATTACATTAGAAGTTACTTCATACCTGTGTGGATTTTCGGTATTTACAATCCGAATTCTTTGACTAATGCTTAGCCGTGATTATGATGTGTGACCTTGCAACGTTAGAATAATAAGCTTAAGGTTTCCAAATAGTCACCATTGATGTCTCGTTTAAATTTATGCTTATGGGATGCACACGCCTTTTTAATTATTGTTCGCCGAAAAAAGAAAATTCTGTGCCTAGTATACAAGTTTTTTTTTTTCTTTCCTTTTGTTTATTGTTTTTGTTTTTTTTATTTTTTTTTTTGCTCTTTCATGTTATGCCTTAATCAACCTTGTTCTATGGCGTAAATAAACGATTTGATGTTGATGATATGAGATAGGAAAACTTCATTCGTTCCAATATTCTTTTTTTGTTTTTTTATTTTTTTTTTTTTTAAAAAAAAAAAAAAAAAAAAAAAGAATGAAGAATTGCACCATTCTGCATCCAATTAATGAATAATTAAAACGGACAATAACAATAGGTAAGGCCTTTTGAATATGATATAATTAGAAAAGTAAAATTAGCAAACATTAGATGGTGGGTAAATTCAATAAATATGTTGTTGTGTGACGTTAATCTTGTGATACGCGGGAACATATATATCGAAAGCCCTAAATTGCTAACGTAATGAAATAAAAAAAAAATCCTTTTATTTCTTGTAGTGTTTCTTACGTGTCTACAACAAACGTGAATGACAAAGTGTCAAAAGGAACCTTTCTGATTTGTGTGCTCATTTGCTACATTTTCTTTCAACCTTTCTAACGTCATTAAGAAACTTATCCCTTAGAACGGCGCCCATTTCAAAGGATTAGAGTTCATTTACAGAGGGTGTACTCTTTTTTAAAATGAATGAATGGTATACACAATAAATTACTTTATGGGCTGAAAGTATTTTTTTCTTTTTAATTCAATAAGGTTTTTAATTTTACCATATACGAAAAAAAGATTAAAAAGTGGGTCATGAGAACCTAATGTATTTAATAGGGGGTTCAATTTACAATGCATCCGCCATTTTACCAATACTTTCTTTTATTCTGTTTAACGCTTCCGAGAATCAATTTACCCTATCATCTCAATCTTTCATCGAGTAAATTTTGTCATATTTAAATTTTTTTTTTTTATTTATCTATTTTTTTTTAAACATGATAACAAACCAACAAAATGGAGAAAAAGGTCTACCATTTTTTTCCTTTGAAATGATTGGTCAAGATTTTTAAGGGCATTCCGAAATCCGATAATTCCGCTCATTGAATTTATAATTTCAATGAAACATTTAACTCTTTAATCAGGCTTACCAGTTTCGTTATCGTTTATATCATTTAATCGTTCAGCTTACCGAGTATCATTTGATAAACCATTTTTAAAATAACCAAAAAGACCTTTTTTACTTTATTTTATTTATTCTTCCCCTTTTCAAAACAATGGTTAAATAATAAATGGGATTTCTTTTATTGATACTTTCCTTTTTTGATCTCTAATATATTTTTTAATGAACACAAGTCTTTCTCCTGTAATTCATTAATCGGATGTTATTCTTTTTTTTTATTCTTGTCAAATTTTAACTCTAATATATTTTTACTTTTTTTTTTAATTGGTTGATTATTCTTTTTTAAAAAATTCTTGCTAATGTGAACACTTGCTCCCGTATAATTGCATGATGTTTTGAACTTATTTCTGGTCAAAAAAATAAACAAATTCGTTGGACAAACAAAAAAAAAAGAGAGAAGGTCGTTACGTTCGTAATGTTAATCCATGTCAAATATGAGCATATTAAAATGCAACTTGTTTTGGAGAGAATTTTAAGGGAGAAAGAATTACCATGATTTACAATTTAACAATCTTATTTATTATGTCTTTTCCTTGTAATAATCGGTTAATCTAATCAAGAATCAATCTTTTTCCAATGTCAGTTTGACTTATGTAATAATAAACAAACAATATTAGAAAGTTAACTTTCCAAATATAGAAGAAGGTATCCAAAACTCTGGCTGCGCCGGCAATAATCTCCGGTACAAACATTTTTTTTATATCCATCCGATCCAACTAATCCATACGTTAATCAGCATGTTTTTTTTTTTTTTTTAAAAAAAAAAGAAAAAAAAAAATCGGCCGGGCATATCATCCTCATGACCACTATCTGATCAAATTTATTATTCCTTGTGCATGGGAAAGCTTTCAAGTAAATTTTTTTTTTTCGGCGCAAATATTAAAAGAAAAAAAATTTATTGAGAGACGTTCAAAACCATAATTAAAAAATGGAAATTTAAATCCGAACAATAAATTGTCATTAAAGACATCCTTAAATGAATTAAAGGAAAAATGAAATATATATCTTAAAATGTAGGATGGAACACATAAAATATAATGATGATGATGATGATGATGATGATGATAAATGATAAAATAATCAAAAAGAATAATAGTAGTTATGGTAATAACAACGTTCCCCTAGGTGAGACCCGTTCCGGGAAATACCATCTCGGTAAATACTTGTACATCGCTGACAATTGGGAAATCTTCTGAGGAGGATAAATGATCCCCGTTAATCCAAGTCGATTGAGGTGATGGGGTTGCGGTAATCTGACCTGTATCCACGCCACCAGGGGTAATGGATTGTTGTCGTGCCTTCAAATTTCGTGAACCGCGAGAATTTTCGGGAAAAATTTCATCAATCTCATCATTGTGTTGCTTGCAATACGTTCGATAAATGTTCTTTTGTTGTGCTGTGGACTCATCCCAGATTTGGTTTCCAACGTATTTCAATTCGTTTTTCACACTATCATCAATCCCAGAGTAATTGGAGATGACATTACCGAAAACCACATTAAATAATCTCAAATTAGTTAATGCAACATAGCGTTTATGGTCTCGTGGATTTTTTATGGCCTTTAACGCCATGACAATATTCTCGACGTTGAACAATTCGGCAACATCAATCATCCGTCTGAGACGAGCTACATTGTCGTAAAAAATTGTTTCTTCGGCGGACATCTGATGAGCATAAAAAAAAAAAAAATGACCGAGAAAGAGAGAATTGATAAATATGACAATAGATTGAAAATGATGTAATCCTTGCGATAGGATTAAGAGAATGCACGAGAGAAAAAAAAAATAAAATAAAGCTTAAATTGATATTACTTATATGAAATTTTTTTTAAGCCACCCAAACTTTTTTTGTACGGTTTCCGTTTGTAGAACGCATTGAAAGGTTCAAGCATTTGTACTTTTAAAAATATGTTACGCCGATAACGGATAACTGTAATGATGCAATAAGACAGGAAAAGTTAAGTTATTTTGTCGCATTTAATGAATAAATTGTCATGGAACAAAGAAAAGCTTACCTAAAAAAATGTTACGTGGTTCAAAGTTATAAACGGTTTTATTTTCTCTTTTTTTCTTTATTTTATTTTTTTTTTTATTTTTATTTTATTTTATTTCTATTTTTTTTTTTTCTTTCTTTCTTTCAGAATAATGGAGAAAAAAAAGAAACTGTACATTTTCCATAAACGTAGTCATTATATCAAAAAAAAATGGTTTTTGTTGCACCATGTTATTAATTACATGCGCCCCCTACATCTTCCAATACTTTCTCGAAAACAAGAGTTATCAGTTCTATTGTTAAAAATCGACAAATAAGTTTCTATCGCATGCTTTCAAATTTTCCCATTTATGAAGCGATTAAACACAATCTCTTTTTTTTTTTTTTTTTTCCTCTCCCGACCATTGTGCATATTTGTAATTTAATTAGTTTAAACGTTATTAGCTAAACCAAGTATACACCTAGTGTAATACAAAATTGATATTATTTTTTTCTTTTGCATATATGAATGAAAAAGATACTATTCAAAACTGCCTCACTTTAAAAAAAAAAAAAAAAAAAAAAAAATATGAATGAAAAAGATGAAGAGATGTTTTTTTTTTTTTTTTTTTTTTTAAAAAAAAAAAAGAAGAATTTCATGCGAAAAGTTTATTCAAAAGTTTTGGGTCATAATTAAATGCCTCAAAATGTGGCTTGAGATAAGGAATGTCTTATCTCACCTTATCAAAATTTCTCAGGACTTTATTTGTTTTGTCATTATCATTTTTTTTCCCTCCCTCACCATTTAACATTTCAAAACTTCCCTTATCTGCCCTTAATAGGCTCCTCCGAATAAGGTTAAGGGAATTGGTCTCTTTTGCTTTTTGTATGTGGGCTTTTTTCCTTACGACTTATGAAATGTCTTTTATCAAATGACACATCCTTGTGTCACAAAGAGATTAGCATCATTTCGAACCATCCGGTAAAGTCCGACCAAGCGTTGATGTCTAATGATATCATTCTTTTTTTATTTGCATTTAAGTAATTTTCAGGTGCTAACGAGAAAGGATCAAAAGAGATGATCTAGGAAAAAAAGGGTTTTGCATTTCTCGGAGACAATGAAGAGTTTGATTAATGATAATGTAATAAATCATGTGATCCGTCACAAGCCTTAAAACCTACACGTGTACAATCGTGGTTGCGGTCCATGCATTTTTATTGTCCATGTGAGAGTGGAAAAGGTTTTTTGCAGATAATTTATTGGGTATCATGTATTTAATCGGCTGATCAGCCGGAAAATTTCTAATAAAAAAAAAATAAAAGTAAAAAATAAAACTTCAAAAGGAGTTTGTGAAAAAAAAAAAAAACAAAAATGCACCAAATAATTGCCTCGCATCATTTTTAATGAGTTCCTTGCGTTTTTGTCGAAGGTACAAAATCGGCATACAGTAATAAAGATTTGCCAATGAATCATAAACAATCTGTATCACAAATTCGTTTCATATGTAAAACCGAACCGAAAGTACTTTTTTTTTGTTTTTAAAAAAAAAAATTGACTTATTAAGAATCTTGACACGTCGCCATGCACAAAATTAAAAAAAAAAAATCATTAGATTATATAATATAAAGATTTGTAATCATTAAGTCATCAATAACGATCCGTTTTACGTGGTACCCAATTATGAACAAGTTTTATGGTTAGAAGTAAATCTTCTCATTTAAAAATACCAATATGTGTGTACTACAATAACCCTTTTGTTTATATATCCCAAATTTACAGTAAAAAAACAATATCATTTTAACTTTAATCAATAAAAAAAAAGACTTCCAAATAAGAATAATTCATTCGCATCCAATTTCCGGTTTGTACATTAATCAGGTATCGCATCAGGCAGCGCGCATGTATATTGTGGTACGTCCATCACAAAGGAACAAAACGCGCGTTTTTTCTTAATTTGCATTTATTTAAAAAAGATCCTGTTTAAAGGTGCTGTATACTTGTGGATGAGTAACAGGCAACAAGCTAGATTTCCTTTAAAGAATCGTTCATACGGAAATACGAATCCAGCTTTTGGAAATATTGAAATTGGTCGATAATATTAGTAATTTAATTAATTCATTCATAAAGGAATCCCTTCAACCCGATTGGTACTTATATCATTATAGTTCAATATAAACCTATATATATATATATTTTTATTTATTTATTTTTTCATTTTTCACCTTTCATCGATCGTAATAGTAATTATTAATGGAACATACATCAATAAACTAGGTTTGACAACGCGATCACCGTTAAAAGAATTTATATTAACAAAAATGTGTAAGATAAAAGAAAATGATGTGCGGAATATAGATATTCTAAGCGAGCTAACAAGAGTTCTTTTAGGGGGATATGAAATCTATTTTTTCCTCACCTCATAATCCGAGATGAGTGATACAGTGCGCCAATTCAGAATAAAGCTATTCCCAATGTGGTCGATCCCAAATAGTCAATTCATATATACACCTTTTTTGAAGGGATTTTCAAGGAGATCACTTTCATCATCACCCAGTAAAGAGTCACCTTATGATCTTGTGGCGCTGTTGCTGTTGTGGCTAAAAATGAATTCTTTTAAACTTGGGTAATATATGGAAGTTTAAATTATCCTTTTAGTGTTATATTAATTATATTTAGGTAAAAATAAGTACTTAAATGGAATATAATACAATAAATAAAAAAAAGTAATAATAAGTAAATGATATCCATTTGAATGCCTTACCGAATATTAGATGATTATTTTAAACAGGAATTGAAGAAACTTGCATCATCTCATCGGCCATCTTACCTCGAATCATGATGACCAATTGGCAAAGGATTTAGAACTCTTGTTAACTATTTAAATAAATTTTCTATGAAACAAAAATAGGAGAACGCGAACTCGATTAGGAAATTCGGTTGGATCCCTTCCAAAATTACAGAAAACAACTTGTTTGTTTATGAGAAAGTTCGAAAGCCCATCTAATCTAGTTTGAACAATCAAAAATTGTTTCATCTTGATATTGTTTAATCATTTTGATTAAGTGATTTCTTACAAAAAAAAAAAAAAAAACCTGAATTTTTATTTATATTTGTGAAAACAAATATCTTAAATAGAACATTCCGAGTCATACGATGTGTAAAGACGCGTTTAATAAGATATTTAAATATTAGTCATGATGAGGAAAAATTCTCATGACTAGCTTCTTTACGGTAATTACATTTGTTTTGCATTATGCTGTATTTATAAATAAATTGGAAACGCGTGAATCTAAATGGTCCTTTTACGTTACATCTTAATGAGTCTTTGGGAACAAAAATAACATTAACTTTTTCTTTTACTCTTTTGGGGAATTCTTTGATCGGATCGCGTCCGCTCCAAATGATTCCTGATCGGTTTGTTCACTCTGTAAGTAACGTTTAAACATACCGTTTTCTTTATTGTCGTATTAAAAAGATAATGTATCAAAGTCATGATCAACGCGTGAATTTCTTTATACAAGTTATAATCAATTTAGTATATTCATTTGTCTTGGCGATAATCTACTCATTATACAAAGCAAATAGGAAATAGTTATAAATATCATCCAGTAAAAATGAAACCCGTCATTTTTTTTATCGAGATAAAGGTTAGACTGTATGACTTGACAGAGATGAACGGATCTGTGACCATCATAATTTTCGCCATAAATGGTGATGATATTGACAAAATTGGCAAAACTTAAAGCGCACGTGATGATTTCATGAGCCACATTTTTTGCCATGACATATACGGTATTTCAACAAAGAGATGATCTTTATGATATTTAGGTTTATTCAAATTCTTGCTTGATTTGTTCAGAAAGAACCTTGGTTTCTTTTATTTTCTTTATTGTACAGGTACCACGTACACTCAAGAATGTGAACTGAAATTTGTTTAAATACTTCACGCAATTTCTTTATGGAATTAGTACACACAATTGTTTTCATTTTTCCCAAATTCGACAATAGATGTGCATATACTATTTATAGCATTCGACCCCCTATATAATCACTCGTCACTCCTTCTTATTAGCACATGTTTGTCAGAATAAACTTACTCCTCGATAATCACACACATTTATAATCACGCCTTGGTCCCGGTCGACTACCCGGAGAAAATATCCGGTCGCAGCTATTATTAATTATGTAAATTCCTGAAAAAAATATATATATAATAAACAATAATATACCATAGCAGTTACATCGTAGTAATTTAGTAATAACTTAATCTCGGATGGCTTTCATGTTTAATGCTAAGGAATTCGGGACCATCCAAATTGTGTAGCGTTTTGGATGTCATAATTATTATTCTCAAGACCTAAGAACTTATCCCCGGATTTTTTTAAAAAAAAAAAAAAATATAAGAAAAAAAACATTACAGCAATTTTCTTTTGAAATTTGTGATCGGCCAATACCCATTTTTTAATTAACACAAAAAAAAAAACTGCCGTCGGGATATTTCTTTTTGAGTATAGAATTTTCCTAATTTGATAGATCACCAAGAATTTCTTTTCGTCGGGTCAAGTTTTTAATAAACTCGAAATTAAATAATAAAAGATTTAGCGAAACTACCGCACTTTAAAAAAAAAAAAAAAAATTAAATTAAACTCAAAATTAAAAAAAACCAAGTGAACCGATTTTCATAACTAACAATTTTCTTGTTTCAGCTCAGTAAGGGAAGCATTTTGATAAAATTAGGAAAAATCTTTTAGACCCAAAAACTTGACCCATCTATATGTTATTTGGGAAGTTTGCTAGGAAAAAATCAGGCTCGGGGAATTTTTTTTTGGACTAAAATTCTGAAATTAAGACCTTATTACATTTTAATCTAATAAAATGCAATAAAAATCAAAATTTTGTTAAAAAATTCCCCGAGCCTGATTTTCCTAGAAAACTTCCCATTTATTATTCAGGATTTCTGGGTCAATTTGTATTGAACTAAAAATATTCAACTTTGAATCAAATGCCAAAAATACTCCTGTAAGAATTATATCTATATTTGGACTGGTTGTTCCTATTGTTTTAAATCCAGGTTCCCATTGTCTCATATTAAAGTTTTTGTCAAGAATGTCGTATGGGTGCATATTAAATGAAATGAGATAAATTTTAAGTTTTAACAAATATGGGTCAGGATGGTGCTACTTGAAAAAACTTTTTTCTTTTTTTAAAAAATAAAAAAAAACAAAAAAACAAAAAAAAAAAAATAAAAAATACACGCAATGTTCATAATAAGAATTCTCGCAATTCTTGCTTAGAGCATTTAGTAAAAAAAGTTTTTTATACGTATCATGACAACCTTCACATTATGAGTAGAAAATTCAAATTTTATTTATTTGTTTTTTTCTTGTTTAGACGATTACAATGAAACATATGTTTTTTTTTTTTTTTTTTCGATTATCTTATAAACAATATCTTAAAATTCCACGTCCTTCTATTTTTAATTATATTACAATCGAACTATCCTTTTTTTTGCTTTTTTCTTTTTTTTTAAAAAAAAAAAAAACATCAATTTTTTTTTAAAAATCGTTTTTTAATAAAAAGTATGGTAATCAAATGGTTGAAACATAAAAGTGGCGAAAGTGTTATACGAAATTGTGTTCATGTCGTTCATGACATTCGTGTTGGAATGAAATGGTTGTAAATTCGACGCAGGCTCATCCTGATGTTGAAAGATGCCGAGCGCATCAGAAGGGGTAGTTAAATCATCGGGATATACTCGAAAATGATTTAATTGTTGATTTTGAAAGTCATTAAAATTTTGTGCTTCATTGTCAGTAATTTGATTGTCGAAGAAATCACAAGAATCAAATCCTTGTTGAAAATTCTCAAAGGGTTGTTGATCGCAATCACCCGTAAAAGAATTAAAATTCCAATTATCATCACTTGAAGTTAATAAATTCGGGAAGGGTTGATTGGGATCAATGAAGGGTTGGTCATAAAATTCATTAAAGTTTTGATTTGGATCAAGAACGGGTTGTTCATGAAATTCATCAATTGTAGGTGAAGTGGCAGCGGTGGATGAAAGGTCTGGAGTTAAAATCCGATTAATAAAATTCAATTCATCGATTTGATGATCATGATTATTAGGAGTCGGGACGTTATCAAAATGAGTTGTGACAGGGGTGAATTTTTCATTATCATTTTGATTTAAAATCCTTTCAAACGAGATCACATTCCAATTACTTCTCTTTTTCTTTTTCATTTCAGATTTAGGATATAATTCATTACGATAATCGAAAGTTGCCTTGGCTAGCCTTTTATAATAATCCTTCACTTCCTCCGGTTCTTTTTCCCAAGATTGACTAACCATTGAAGAAAGGACGGTCATTGGGAAACAATAACCCTCATTCCTAGACTCTCGAACGTACATTTTACGATAAATGATAAACGCATTCGGAGCTCGATTTGGTTTTTTCCCGGCGATAGATTTGGTTATTAAATCTTTTGGACCAATAGGTGGAGGAAATGGGGGTCTAATAAAAGGACGAATGTAACTACTAATCATTTGATCGGAGAAATTTTTGTCGTTATTTTCGTTAATTTGAGAATCGTTCATTACGTTTCGTTTCATGTTCTTGAAATTTTTTTTTTTGTTTTTTTTTTTTTATTTTTTATTTTTCTCGTTAAAAAATTTTAATGATTGACAAAGAGAGAAGAACGAACATAAAAAACAAAGGTAAATTCAATCTTGGGAAATTAAACATGGAACAAAATGAATAATTCACATAATATTTATAATTTTTTGTTATTTTTTAATTGAATTCACTACAATTATTTTCCTAATTTGTTTAACTTTAGGATCACGAAACTATTTTTAGCGTCTTTTCTGGACAAATCATGGTAAACAAAAAGGTACAGAAGTACTATTTTAAGAAGTGACCAGTAATAAAAAAAAAAACACCCCCTTTTGACATAATGATAAAAACAAGACATTTTTTTAATTACCTGGTAAATTAAAAAGAAAAAAAAATAAAATAATTAATATAATAATAATAATAATAATAAAAATAAAACTGTAATAAAGAGCGAATCAAAACGTTGGTGCGAGTTGGTTTATGATTGTACGTATATATATCTATGCACATGTTTCCTATATCAAGTATCGAATCACCACTTCAAGATGTTCTGAAATTTTTTTTTTGATATGAGGAGATCTTTTTCAGGAAGTTAAAATCCATTTAATCGATATAATAAAATTTGGAGGCTGTGTTTACTCTTATAACTATCATCTGAATTAAACTTTGACCAACTTGGCTTAGCAGGCCGAGCCAACTCCGAATCCAATCATAAGATTACTACGGATCATTATTCATGCATTAACGCATCAATGCATCATTGTAAACCCCTCAAACCCTCAAAACAAAGCACGTCATGCATAAAGGGTTCTCAATCACATTCGCAGTCTCAATTTCCTTTCTTCGCACTTTCATATAAATATTCCTTTTGTATGAAATTTATTCAAACGACCGACGTGATACATGGTGCTACCACAATTATCTGTTTTGGTCCTTTGCCTCTGTTCTGAACAATGCTCACTCATTCTGAATAAAGGTATTATCGTCCCAATGCTTTATTAACATTGTCATTCATTCTGGGTAAAAAAAAAAAAAACATTCATGTGCGTTATATAAAAACGTTTACTGATTTCCTCATTCTATTTTTACCTTATCTTACTATAGGATTCCTTCATGAATTTTAAACATGTTTGATGAGCGAGCTGCAGGTTTTATCAACCGGAAGTTCACCGACGTTCATTCATGTTTTGATGAAATCAGATGCTGATTCGACCTTTACTATGGAGTGTATTCCGGAAAAGGTTTTCAATACAAGCTTCATGTTTTGTCGTTGAAGTGTCATTTGAAAAAGAGTTTTATCGAAGTGCTATTAACACTCAATTTAATATCATGTTATGGTTGCACATGCCATTATCCATCTCTAAAGATGGAATTGATTTAAACGAATCATTGGATCATTGAGGTGTTCATGTGCCCAAAAGGATTGCAAGATCTTGGTAAGTTATGCATATACTTTTTATGGCAGAGATCTTTGGGCATTAGCAATCATGACTAACTATGATTTATTCACAGCTGATGTCACCTTTGTGCAGAAATTTTAAGAATGATTCGTTTTCTTGATTTTTCTTCAAATAAAATTATTTTTTATTCATATGATATTAATGATTTGAAATTGCGATATTAGACGATGTTTGTTTTTACTTGGATTCATGTTAATGATGGTGTCATAATGAACATATTCCATTTGAATTAAATGTAATAAATGTGTAAATTTTTTTTTTAATTTGTTAAATTTTATGAAATCTTAAAAAAAAATATTTAGAAAATCTATATTTACAATTCTATATACGTCATAATCTTATTTGACCATATGTTATTTTTACTTAATCATAATATTTATAATATTTCCTTATTTACTTACAATGTCTATATAATCTATTTTTACCACGTTTCAACGAAAAAAAAAAAATTCCCTCAAATCTACCAGCCCAGAAATATAAAAATGATGATGATGATGATAATGATGATGATGATGATGATGATGATGATGATGATGATGATGATTGATGATATGTTTATAACTGAAGAGAATTTTCGTATTCTGATCCATTGGAATTTACACAAATCCCTTGATATGGTAGCGAATTTAGTAAATAATTGTTATAATTGAGATAATCGATTTGATTGGAATACGTGTTTAAATCATTATTGTATGGAATGAAATCAGCCGAATCGATTTGATTAGGAAAATTGTTTTGGCATGATAAATTTTGATCAAATTGATCATATTGATACGGTCCAACATAATTAATTGGAAAATCGTTATTTAACTGTACATTGAATTCCGCATTCGACAGATAAGGTTGATCCGAGTTTTGAGTTAATACATCGTTCGACATAATAATCGGAGATGGCATGCTGCTACTATTATTCGATGCGCTGAATTCTTGAAAAAGATTTTCGTTAAATGATGAGGCATCATAACCTTGTTGTTCTAAATTTGGTGAAGAAATCTGTGAAGAGACGTTACTATTCGAATCTTGAGAGAGAAGTGGTGATTGGTCTATTTGTTCCATTCGAAATTCCGGAAAAGAGGATGATGATGATGAACTTTTCTTTGACTTTGTATCATTCGTCTCATCAAAAAATGTATTATATAAATCATTTTGAAAAGCGATATCAGCGCTCCAAGGTTCCTTCTTTCTTCTTCGCTTGATTTTCTTGGGAAACCTTTCGGTTCGATATTTGTAAGCTTCCTTGGCTAGTAATTTGTAATAACCCCTCACTTCCTCAGATTCTTGGTCCCAAGATTTGGACGCCATGGAGGACACGATGGTCATTGGTAAGAAATACCCTTGATCTCTGGTGGTTTTAAAGAAAACTTTGCGATAAATGATGAACGCGTTCGGAGAACGAGATGGTTTATTATCTTTACCTATGATCAATAGATCTTTTGGATCGATGAGAGGTGGGAATGGTGGTTTTATGAAAGGATGGGAAGAATTGCTCATGATTTGATTTGGTAAATCAGGATTACTTGAATCGATGAAAACGCAAGCTCGTACCATTTTAGGATTTTCAGGATGTTCAGTTTGGAATTGATAACTCATTTGTTTGTAAAAAAAAGAAAAAAAAAAAGAGAAAACGAAATTCGATGAGATAATAATAACAATACTGTATATAAAAACTTTTTTTATCAAAATCTTTGCAAAAATTTTTTATTCTGAATTTTAATTTTTTTTTTTTTTCCCTATGGGAAAGGATCTTTTATAGACTTTTTTTTATTTATATCCGCGCAAAAAGAAAAAGGTTATTGGTGTGATTATTAATCAAGTGGTTGGCTGGGGGTGATCGAAGATCTATTTTTATAACATAACGTTTTGAGCAAATCCGGCCTAAATAAGGACCTGTAAAACACAGCCGCTTTCTTAATAAAGCGTCATCCGCAGTAGGGACGTTATCACATTACCGATCTAAACCTGTACTCAACCATTATAATACAGAGACATCCAAAAATAGGTTCTATGTATTTTACTTTATCACAAAGAAAAAAGATGGCTGAGTAAATAAAAAAAAACGAGGGAATGATAAATTTCCGAGATATCTCCAAATTCTCCGTTATCTTGTTTCAAGACGTCCAATAGGAGTTTTTCTTTAATAGAAAAAAAAAAAAAAAATTCAAAAAGGTTTGTTTCATTCGGATCTACCGTCCCAAGTTGAAGTTTTTTTGAAATATAAAGATTCATTTTCTAAATTTATCATATAAAAAATTAAAATGAATTACCGTGATTACTTATTTTGGTGTCGAATATTTTGATACTTTTGATACACAATCACAAATAAACAAATTGTGTCTTTATTGACAAATTTGATTTATTCATTATAATTTGAACTAATCCTAATTCGTACATGTTTGAAATGTTGCAGCACATGCATTTTTCTCACATAAATGACCATAATAGCATTATGTTAATTTCTGAATAGGTCATTCGAATTAATAAACGTAAAACACGATGACAGCGTGACAGCGTGACAGGTCAAACGTGCTTGTAAAAATTCAATCCTTTCGTTTTTTCTTTTTTTTTAAAGAAAAGAAATGACCGAGTGTACGCTACAAGCTTAACTTTCGCGTCTCCTTCGTCTCTTTAAAAGTTTGGTAAAGTTGCTTGTGCATAATTGCTTTCTTGGTTGATTAAAATTCCTCCTTTTTTCCGTATTAACCAGTCATGCGACCAGTTTGGCGTAGTTTTTCAAAATTATTAATCTACACAGCAATTAATAATCTAATTTTAACACTTGACTTATTGGTGATAGTTGTTCGCAAAAAGTTAAAAATAAAATTTCTTTCCTAACTCGGTAACTAACCGAATAAACAAAAAAATCCTGGTTTTTTAAAATCAAAATTTTATGGTTAATCCGAAAAATATTATACTGTACTGTCTTCTAAAAATAGTATCAAATCTACACCCAACCAATTTTTTTTAACGATTAGTTATTTTTAGTAACAAAAACAGCGGCGAATCAAAAATGTCAAACTTTCTGGAAAAGGGAAATGAAGAACGTATAAACATGTGATTCCCCCTTTGAAATAAACGGAAAACTAAAAATGATGTATTCGGATGTATTTAGCCCTCCCTCCCCACAAAAAACATTAAGATTATCCGACACTATACTTGTATATTAACTTGATATATTAAGGATTTTATTTTTAAATTTTTAATATGTAATATTTGTGATTTTTTTCAACTTCGAAAATTATGATTTTAATTATTTATTTTTAAATAACTTTTGTTTGTTTTTAATTAATTAATATAATAAATCTTATTTTCTATCGGTTTAAATAAACGATTTAACTGTATATCATAAAAACAAAAATACTATGATATGGACCTTTGCAATAGAACAGTCGGAAAAAAATCAATTTTACTTTTATATGCCAAATATGATTATTAGGTCAAAAATATGTTCAGATTTAGTATTATCTCAATTTTATTTTTTTTCCAGCCGTTACCCCCTTTTCTATTGCAAAGGTCCCATAAAAGAATAGTATGAAACTGTTTTATACTGTATCTTAAATAATGTTTATTAATATAAATTATATTAAAATAATATTATATTATAAAAAAAATATTCTACATAATTTACAAAAATATTATTTAAAAATAAATATCTTTATTAAATCATATTATATAATATTGATTAGAATCTTTTTTTAAAAAAAAAAGATTAATATAAATTTATTAAAAATAAATTTAAAAATATTAAAATTTAACTAATATAATTTGATTTTTGTATTGTTGATATTTGAAATAAAATAGAAAAAAGATTTTTTAATTTTATTACCAATTAATTACAAATTTTTATTTAATACTAATAATTTATTAAAATTATAATTATCTATTTAATTATAAATATTTATATATCTTTAATATATATTTTAATATAAATAATAAATATTTTAATTATCCCTTAAATTGTAAAGTTTCACAAGCAAATTTGTCTATTTATTTGCTATATATTTTCTTATGATATACTTTTATAAAAAATTTAAAATTTTTTAAAAACTTTTAAATTAATTTTATAATATACATTATAATATAATAAATTTTATCTTTTAATTTATAATAAAAATCTAAAGTAGTGGGATACCACTATGTAATATAATTTATATTACATAGTGATATTCTACTTGCTTTAGATTATATTACCACCATATAATCTGAGTATCACTATATGATCTAAATAATATAATCTAATTATCACCATATAATCTAAATAATATAATTTAATTATTACCATATAATCTATTTATTTTCGCATATTAGGTATTTTTTTATACTCTAACTATCTTTTTAAATCTTTCTTGCTATCTATATTTTTTACGATCACATAATCTAACTACCACCCACCATTTAACTTAACTATCACTATATAATCTAAATACCACACTTTTCTTTTTATTTCTAAGTTATTTACATGCTAAATTCTATAATAGAATTGTTGGTCTTTTGTAACTGTTTAGATATCTGATTTTATGTTATGAATGCTGACTTCCTGCACTAGGTTAGGTTCTGGATTCTATATTGGAGTGCTTACCCTTTACGCTTATTTGGTTGTTTTTCAAAATGTCAAATTAGTATAAAAGAATATTGTATTAGGTAGCGTAGTAAATTTGTGATTAATTTCAGCTAATATTTTGAGCATGTGATTTAAGGATCCAGCTTGATACCATGATGGTAATTTGATAGTGTTCTGAAACTATTATAGAACTGATAGTGAACCAGAGTATTTCTATTAGTTCACCAGTTTTAGGTCAGCTTGAATGCTGAGTTATTATACCTAAAGATCTGGCTGAAATTGTGGAATAATGCTAGCTAAATTTATATTGCACCCTACTGCATCAATCATGTGATCTTATTATAGCACCAAATACCATCTGCTAAATAATATAGCAAATTCAGTTAATTAGGTATGATATACATTTTTATGAATAACCTATTTGATTATCAGAAGTGCTCTATTTCACAACCTAACTATTACCTATTTGTTATTAGTATAATAGTGAGATGTTGTAAGTATTTCTGAGATTCAATCATAGTTTAATCTAGATTGAGGTAATGAGTATGCTATTTTTTTAAACGTCTCTAGTGTCTTTAGTAAAAATAAAGTTCTATGAAAAATTTGAAACTTATCCTATGGTACATATGTATGCTATTTATGTGATATATATATATTATAAAAATGTGATTTCATATTTGCCATGTAGAGACATGATCTGTCCTAATTATCTAAATTATTAGGTCAACTAGGACAAGAACTAAAACATATTTCAATATGAAAGAAGAGTTTCTTTTTTTAATTTAACTTGTTCTTTTATAATACGTTCTAGTTGTCCTAATTATTCTAGTAAAAATAAAAATTCTAGAAAAAAAATATAATCCATCCTATGCTATATATAATATATAGTATGTATGCTATATATATGCTATATAGCTATATAGCTATATATCAGTATATCTATAGGTAAAAAAAATAAAAAAAGTAAAGAAGTCCAAAATTTACTAGAATAACTAAGACAGACTATTTCTTTCACTTTAATTCATCTTAAAATTACCATCTAGCTATATTTTATCTATCCTAGAAAATTTTAACAATTAAAACGAAAACTAGAACAGAATTTCTAGAACAATTTGCTAAGATATATCCTCAACTAGCTTATTAACTTTTTTGATAGTACTGTTCTCTTTTACAGTATTTTCTAGAATGTGGATTATAAAATCTATATTCAGAATAAGTTAATTTATCACATTCAATGCAAAATATATATGAGGGAGAATTCTGATGTATTTAGTATCCTTTTGGGTAAAAAATTCCTGATTACAAACTTCTTAAGTCTTGAGAATATATGAATATTGATAAAATGCTATTTTTGATAATATGAATAGTTCAATTATATATTGATTTATATATTTCAGAATTAATTTTCATTTTGAACTTTTTTCTCCTGAAGTATATACTTTCTTTCAAACTGTATATTTATTATATAATATTATAACTTAATTTAAGCTTTCAGAGTTTCTCAATGCATATGCTCTTTTCACCTAGAGGCTGAAAAAGATAAAATAAAAGGTCAGTTAATTCGCTATTTTAGTGAAAAATACTTTTTGAGCATTCTAACTCTGGATAATATAATTGCAAAAAATGATAAGAAATTAACCGCAATCCTTAACAATGCTCTATTCAATTATGAAAAAATTTTATTCATGGCTATTGATAGTGAAGAATCATCAGAAAAGATAAAAGGAAAGTACCACTATGTATTGCATTTTTATGGTTATCTTATTAATGATCAAAAGATACTGATAACTCTTATAGAAATACAGATGTTCTTTGATATTCTCATATCAGATGGAAAGACTCTAAATGAATGTAAAGAAAAAGTAAGCAAAATTCTCTCTAGCATTGTGAAATCATATAAAATAGAGCATATTAAAGTATTCCCTTTCTGTGAATACTATACAGAAAAAAAATATTTTTACAAATTTATACAAATAGTACTAGAAAGAGAAAGAAAGCTATCTAAGCTATCCAAAAAAATAATTTTGAAACT